GGAATTAAGGTGGTGATCTTGAAAGGCTAAGTTTGGTTGATGATGGCGAAGGAAGTTTTTTCTCATGTCAGTGTTGTGTACAAGAGTGAGGTTATTGTTATTGGAGGCGAGAGTGGTCTTTTTGCAAGCCGATATATTTAACTTTAACCTCATGTTCCAGAAAATTTATTAATAAAGTTTCCTACAGTATGTTAGGAATAATATCCTGGTGAATTTGTATCATGACCAAGCCAAGTCATTTAATTTAATTAGTCTTCAACCATAGTGCTTCTTCGCTTATACTGTATAAAAAGTGACCTACTGTATAGACCTTTCACACTTGCACTGTAAACATTTAAACTATCAAGGTCAAATTTATAGGTCATTGGTACCTGTCAATGCTTAGGAAACAGTGCTATACAGGCAATTGCCAGTTGCATTAGATCTAAAAATATAACCAAAGATTATATTATTATTATTATTATTATCTTCATAAAGTACATTTGTAGAGCTATTATCAGTCAATCAATACTCTATAAAGCATGTACACAATAAATATTTTTTATCCAACATGATCAAATATTTGAGATCAAGTTTCTGCCACTTGAGGTGTTTTAATTTTATACACATATATAAAATGAATATGTATATGCAGTATATGAAACTTTGGACCTATAACCTCGCACAATTATGCAAATCGTACGTCCAATTCAACGATTTATTGTTCAAAATTCAAACCACTTTACCTTATTGCCATACACCTCTTAGTAATCTCTTGAAAATATATTAGACGACGAGAAATCAACACATCATAGTTTTGGTCAAGACAATTTTCTTGCATCCATCGAATTTATCAGCTTGAAATATTCTCCACAGAACACCAGAGAGCATCCCTTATCGTAACAAATAACGATATAACCCTTTCGAAATCTTTATTTCGAAAATAGTTCAACAAATATACTAAGATTAAGCGAAATAATTCGCTTGTAAAATTGTACAGAGCTGCAACAGAGCTACCAAGTGCACAATGCTTCCAAATTGAAGATTAGAAGGCCAATCAGAGGAGATGTTCTTTAATTCTTTTGTGCAAATTGTCCAATCAGAAGCTGCTATCTATTTGTAGGATTAGTCAAAATAGTCAAAATTGTGCAATCGTTAGTCAAAATAGGTGTGACCAATCAACATGCCTGTAATGTGTAATCTGAGCAAATTTGACCAATCAAATCACATGAACTAAAATGCAGAATAGTCAATTTTCATTTCAATACCGCTTATTTGACTTATCATTTGACTAATCAATTGCTGGCTCAATGTGCAAAAACTGATCGAAGTTTATATACTGGAGTGTGATGTAGTTTTGATTGCATGATCAGAAATGAAGAGAAGCGTTTGCGCTGGGGAAAAAATTCAAAAACCTTAGTCCAAATTTTTTTATATGCCTTTTTTTTACATTAGTCGCGTGACTAATCTGACTACCCCTAGATCCGCCCCTGTGAAACGTCATCATCATGGTTGCTATAGCAACGACAGATAATAAACTGTTAAAAAATAACTATTTTGGTATTGTTTTCTATTGGGCAGCTATATACTATTTGTTTTCAACAAGTAATATTTGTTCAAGAAATTTATTTCTAAATGATAAATTGTAACTTGATTATTTCATTCCAGTTATAAATTGAGATCATCAGTTGAGGTAAACGTTTATCCGAGAATCAAAACTTGTCAGAGAGAAAAAAAATCATTCTAATCTAATCCAGTCCAGGTTTTGTACTATGCCGAAGACAGACGCATGGTTGATGCCTTCCTTGCGATGTAATAACTTACAGCCAATCACAGCTCACGGATAAATGATGTGCGTTGTTTTTTTGTAAATATTATGGATTAAGCCCAGGTGACACTACACAACGATAACAACACGATAACTTATAAACACGCGATGATTGGTCAAAAAATTTGTTGATGTCCATGAGAAAACAATCAGTCACCCAAAGCGATTTTTTTTTCAGTCCGACAATAAGGATAAATTTTTTGACCAATCAGCGCGTGTATACAAGTTATCGTATTGTTGTCGTTGTGTAGTGTGACCGGGCCTTTACATTGTGTCATTGTATGTCAAATAACGTGTAAACACGTTATGACGTCATACTGTGTATGTATTTTTGATCTTGTTAAATTTAGGAAGCTTCTCTTACTAATTAACATTCTCACAAATCCCAGTGCTCCATCTTCATTTAAGCAAATGTTTAAATTCTTATCTTCTATTCGACAACAGGCTCTGACTAGAGCTTGCGCATATGACCTTCAACCCCCCTTCCCACGTACTGACTCTGGTAAACGAACATTTCTGTACAGTGCTTCCATTCTTTTTAATTGCTTAGATAGCGATTGTAAGCAACTTGCTGCTTCGCCATCTTGCTCTTCATATACTAACGCCAAACAAAAAATTCATAAAATCTTTCTTAACAAGCTTACCCTTATTAACCATATCGAAGATCTATTTTGTGTAAATTGTAAATATTTACTAAATTGTAATTGTATTCATTACTAATTATTTTTTTCTCAAATGTAAATAGTCGTAATCCTTAATACTTTTTATGCCTGTAAATATCAAAATAGTGCGAGGGCCGTATGTTAGATAACTTTTACGGTTAATACGTTTTCCCTCGTGAAATAAAATTTCTATTCTATTCTATTCTATTCTATTCTATAATTTACTTAACAGGATTTGGGGTATCTCACTCAAGGGATTAAAAGGCGCTTGGAATTCCAGGCATGCCCTTCCAAAACCACAAATTCCTAGGAAATCCAGAGAAAATCAACTTATTTATAGTGGAATTTCAAAGCCATGTGGAAAAACACACATTTCCAAGGGTCGTTGATTAAAAGTGCTTCAAATTCCAGGCACTCCCTTCTACAAACCACAAGTTTCCAGGGATGGAGACAAAAAGTGGCAAGGAAATCCAGGGAAGATCAACTTATTCACAGTGGAATTCCGGAGTCATGCGGAAAAAAATGCATTTCCAAGGGTCATTGATTGAAAGTGCTTGGAATTCCAGGCACTCCCTTCTACAAACCACATTTTTCCAGGGATGGAGACAAAAAGTGGCAAGGAAATCCAGGGAAGATCAACTTATTCACAGTGGAATTCCGGAGTCATGCGGAAAAAAATGCATTTCCAAGGGTCATTGATTGAAAGTGCTTGGAATTCCAGGCACTCCCTTCTACAAACCACATTTTTCCAGGGATGGAGACAAAAAGTGGCAAGGAAATCCAGGGGAGATCAACTTATTCACAGTGGAATTCCGGAGTCATGTGGAAAAAAATGAATTTCCAAGGGTCATTGATTAAAAACCATTGGAATTCCAGGCACCCCCTTCTACAAACCACATTTTTCCAGGGCTTCTGACAAAAAATTACTTGGAAATCCGGGGGGTAGGAGAATTTACGTTGTGTGTCCTCAACAGGGGGTGTACGGATAAAAAATGCAATAAGCCATTATAATAAGTGATGACATATTTCAATTGACCCATGTCATCTTCATTATTCAGTTTCTTTCAAGAAAATACAAAATGTGAATCAAGTTTTTTAGCAGATACATGTACGCGTCGTGTACCTATTTTTAAAACGTTTGAGGCAATAGCTGTTGAAACAAGAATAGGAACTAAGGATATTATGTTCTTAGTCATGTATAGACCACCTAAACAGACAAGCAAAAGAAATGATAAGCAATTTAAATATTATGAAATGGTTGAGCAGGAAATTAATGACATAGTTATGTGGGCCTTCACTTAAGAAACAATTTGTAATTGTCATGTGAGATCTTAATATGGATAGATTAAAGCCTAATGATCGAGAAGAGAAAATACTTAAAGATTTGGAGGAGGTTAATAATTTACAGTGCATGATAAACGAGCCTACAAGAATAACAAACTTTACTTGATGTTCTGTTGACAAATTTGCCAGAGGTTTTTAGGAAATGTGGAACGTATAATCCTGAAATCAGTGATCATCACCTTATATATGGAATTATGTCTCTGAAAATACATAAACATGAACCTAAAGTTATAACATTTAGAAGCATAAAAAATATTAATCAAGAACGACTTAATCAGGACTTATTAGAAGCCCCCTGGCATGTAGCAGAAGTTTTCGATGATATAGATGATAAATATGTTTATTGGAACGGATTACTCGAAAGTGTACTAAATGAACATGTACCACTCAGACGGAAAATAGTACGTGATAAAGATATACCTTATATGATATTATAAAAAATATGCTGTTCAATTCTCTAAAAACCATACACAAGAAAATTTTGAACTGAAAAAGTATCGTAATATAGCTACAAGAGAACGTAGAAAAGCAATTAAGCATTACTGGCGAAAAAATTCAGAAGAACTAAACAAAAAACATCAGAGTTCTATAAAACATTTCGGCCATTCCTCAACAACAAATTGGCAAACTCCTCAGAAATAAGTCTAAGAAATGAGGATGGGAATATTATAACCGATCAATTGGAAGTTGCAGATTTACTTGCTAATTACTTTACTTATGCGGCAGCTAATGTGGGTGGAGATCACGTAAGAAATATAACAGAGAATGAATGCCATAACCACTACAGCATACAAAATATAAGGAATAATTATGAAAATATAAATTTCGATTTTAAATGAGTTAAGCAAGAAGAAGTTAAATCAGAACTTGACAATTTAAACACTAAAAAATCTTCAGGATGGAATTTGTCATGTGATCATTTTTTAAAGCTGGCTTATCAAGTGGTCTTTCAGAGCAAATTTTAGAAATAAAAAAGCAAAGTTATTTCATGAGTACAAATTTTTCAGTTACAAGTTGCCAAAGAATCCTGCGTAGAAACACCAACTATCTATGACTTCTGAAGGATTTTAACTAAAGTTATGACTAAACATAGAATACTATAGACTGCACTTGCATCAATCCTTCCTTTAGTTTTTAAGTGGGGTATTTACCACAAAAAAGAGTGTTCAAAAAAAGGAAAAACATTGATTGGAAAACCTCACAAAATTCATGTGTGTTTCCGTATACCTACAAGAGAACACTCTTTTGCCTCGATCTTGGCTTCGCCCAATAGTATTTATATTAAATTTGATCACTGACATGACGTCACCACAATGACATCAGAACGACCTCGAAACAACGTCGTTTTTGCAATGTTGATAACTCATTATCAGAGTGACGTCGAGACAACATTGATTATACGACGTCTATAATTCGTCATGAAGGTAACAATCCAGACTGGAAAGTTTGTAAAATGCGCGGCGGAGATCGAAATTTGCCCTTTTTTTTGCACGGCCAGATGGCGAAATTTGCGCGGGCAACTAGGGCGTGGTCAATTCGTGGTCAATCTTTCGCCGTTGCACGTGCAACACTGTGCATCTTACCATGACTAAATAACTGGTGGAAAAGTGCTGTTCTGTTCAGAAGACGTGCTACAAAAGAGGTTTCTTTAAACTTTGCAAAAACTTTATCCAGCCAGTGTGCCGGGTCCCACTGAGCTGGCCACCAAAACCTGTCCTTGCAAGAAAGCTCGTTTTCTAGCTGCCGCATTATGGGTTGGTTCATAGCAGCTATGAACGGTTCGTTGAGGTATTGGCCATCCATTACCTTTCCCTGCATCTGGAAAAGACGTTCGTCCTTTAAACCAATGTGCTTCTCAAGGTCACGAAATATAGCCTTCGCAAGATCATCCCCTGCACCACCAGTCGCATCAGAATTACTGTACACCTGAGCTGCGTCCAGTACAATTCCTCTTCGTACGCTATCCACGATAGGACAAACTAAGGTAACCTGGTTTGTAACTCTGTGATTCGTGGATTTATCAGCAGTTACGTGAAAATGTGGCGGCATTCCTGTGTTTGGGAAAGGAAGGTAGTAGTCTTTTCATCGATGTAGGCACAGATGGCGGATAACATTGATGGAAAGAGCTTTTGTGAAATGGCCGAAATTGCCAACATCTGCCCCTGATGCTTGAAGTTCTGCTATACAGGCTTCGTACTGAACTGCTGCTGCTTTCGACTTCACAATTCCAATAGCGGTGCGAAGTTGATTTTTTATTACGGTAACCTTCCTCATGTTTCCTTGATCCACTGACTTCATATGCTCAAGAGCTGCGGTATGGGTTTTGGAGACAAGATGCTCACCTATACGTTCTTTCTGGTGGTACCACTTATCGCACTTTCCAGCAACCAATTGTTGATATAGCTCCTCTGACAGCTGAAGACCAGTGGATAAAGCCCCATATGATGCTCCAGTTGGTCATCGAAATGAAGACGAGTAAGCTATGGGAGACGATAAAAATTCCGCACAAGTACTGCATCTCAACATGCGACTGCCCTCCTCCCCAATGATCTCAAACTGTGGGAATTAATCCAAAAGTTCAAGTAGGTTTCCAGCATTTATTGCAGAGGGTTGAGCCTGCGGATTTGGTGTACCCGTCACATGTTTACATTTTGCTGCTGAATTCATTTTGTGCGCAAGTTTCGAAGCCAGTTTCTCAGCAAGTGACTCCAAATCAAAAGGTAACCCCACCAGATCATTTGTGCTTGTTTCCATTTCTGGTAGAAACCTAGCAATTGAACTTTGATACAGGCGTGCAGGTTCAAATGACGTGGTTGGAGATTGAAGCTCCTGAGTACTGATCTGGCCCCTAAATGACGATAATTGCATAAATTGATGTACCTACTTGCTACTCCATTTAAATTGATTTCGTAATAGCATGAGATTCAAATTTAATATAAATACTCGGTAGACTGTAGATAGTGTTTCTGGTAAACTGAAGGGGTGGTTGGTGACTTGCAATTGGTGTATCGCTAAGATAATGGACAACAAAATATTGACGGTTTACATGTAAGCTAAACTCAGCGACGTCGCAGTTCATTGGTAAAGACTGGGCGTTAAAACTGTGTTAGTATTTTGTTATTCAAAATATTGAAAGTTTACCATGGCCTTTATAATTTTACCGCATCATGCATATAACTTCACCGGATCATGCATACAGCTTTTAACTTCATGCAGTGTGACTTTATATATTACTCACATAACATCTGGTAATATATTGGTATCCAATTCCTTGTCTTTTTCTTCACGTATAACAGGTTCTATGTTATCTATTACAGAATAAGAAAATATCAACTTTACATGAACTATGTAGCCTTAAGAGCGTCCTCCGGAGGGTCCCGTTTACATTGACTTCAACTTATGCCAGATCTTGGCAGATTCCTCAGATAAGAAGCAATTAAAATAAGTTTAATATGACCACCCACCTATTAATGATAATTTCTGTAATGGCATCACCAGAACTTGCTGGATCAACAGAAGAGGGAACATCCGTCACTTGTCTGCTATCATTGTCATCTCTATATGATAAATATATTCTCAACATAGTTCAGAATTTGGAAATATTCTAAAGAATCGTAGCCTACCTTCCAGTTACATTCTCATCTCCATCCAAACAGATTGTTACCACAGATGAAACAGAAGATATGGAATGACTGGAATCCTTAATTGATGTACTTTTAGTTTCATCCGTGCTATTTCCACTACAAAAGTATTGTTAAGGTATAGCGGTTATAATTATGTGGTATTCGCGCTATTCAACGACAAGAATGACTTTGAAAAAGCTCATCACAGGTTTACCAGGAGGAAATGTCTCGACGCATTAACATAGTCAAACTTTTATAGAAGATTTTTTTAAACAATTGTTAATAGGATGCTTTTTATATAATTATTGGTTACCTTGAATTATTGGTTACCTTGAATTAGAATTATATCTTCGTGTTGGTGCGCTTTGGATTTAGCATGACCGTCTTTGGTAGAAGGATTAAATCTACGCAACCAAAACCTTTTTTCCTTTTTGTGAAAGCAAATCAAGCAAATGGCCATAGGCGTGTTCTTGTGACCATGTTTAACCCGCTTCACTGGTTTCGCTTTGGCCGGTAATTCAGGCGGCCTCTTGTTGAATAATTTCTTAAATGCTGTAAAAAAACTTAGCTCAGTCTATTATACTCTAACATTAAATGCACGCAGCATCATACTGTTCATGTATTATATAGTTATTTTGCAACCACAATTTATATTAAGGTGGCTCAATACAGTTTTTTGGACAATCATTACTTGTTGATAAACAAAAAGTACCTTACTTATATAAAACAACATATAAAGAGTTTGAATTTTTGCACAAAAGTTATGCAACTGCCGTTGCTATGGCAACAATCACGTTTCAAGATGGCGGATATTTTGGCTTTAAAGTAATTTAACTCGTAAATTCACCC